GGGTCTCAGTTCCAAAGCCCTCAGATCCAGTACACGGGCTGTAGCCCAGTTCAGTGTCCTCGGAAATGGCGCCTTTTGCACCCAGGTCCCCTGTCTGGGAACCTGGTTTCTGATTATTCAGTGAGTGACATTCACCTCAATGAGGGCTTCTGCGTGTCTCCCCGCAAGACTAGGTCACAAGGACTAGAGATAGTATGTTTTGATCAGCAGCAACAATGGAACCCCCCAGGAACATTCCCTATTCACTCCCCCCAGCTTGTGCCATACTATCATACATCCCCAATACACATCCCCAACATGCACATTCCTCCACATACTTGCCCACCTTTCCTGACTCTGATACCCAACAAATGTGAGACTGACCCAGGAAATAGTGCAGCATCTCCAGAGGTGTGAGCCCCTCTAGGTCTCTCTCTCTCACTACTTGACTTCGAATTGTTTTCCCTCTGTCCAGGGCCACTCCAAAAGCTCTTGTCCCACAAGGTGATAGTCTGAAAAATTCTTCACCAGATTAATAAACAAAATTCTTAAAGATGTTTAAACTGCCTTACTGGAAATTCTTCATGTGTAGGAGATATTTAATGTTAGAAATGGGAAAAGGGCATGAGTAGAAACAAAAGTGCTTCAAAAGAAAATTTAAGAAATAATAAGTAGGTTATGTGTCATGGAAGGCATTGTTGCAAGTAATTACATTTTATGTTCAGATATTCGAAATGTTGATTTCATTTCTTGGTTTTTCTTTTGAAATCACTTTAGGCTCCTGCTACTATCTAATTTTGGAAGATTTTTTTTTTTTTTTTAATAATCTGAGTAATCAGACTCTTTTCTCTAAAACTAACAAGTCACAGGAACTATCAGACCTTACAGTCCAAGAAAGAAATTAAGGCCTCCCTGGTGGCCTAGTGCTTAATTCTCAGCACTATCACCACTGTGGCTGAGTTTGATCCCCAGCCAGGACTCTAAACCACATATGGTTCAGCAGACATCTCCTGTCTCCCCTGTGGCTCCCCTTAGCAGTGTATTTCAGTAAAGCCACTTGTTCTGCTCCCTACTCTCCCTCTGATGAGTCCTCTCACCAACTCCCAGTTCTCCTGGCCTACACCCCCAGTTCTTCCAATGACTGTAGTTTCTGCATCTTTCAAAAAATGACATGTGGTATCTTAAATATATATGCTAAAACATTTTGTGTAATCTCAGGGGACTGAAATATCAGGACAGACAAAATAGGAGATGCCAGGGAGAAAACAAGAAAACATATCCCAGTACTGAGGGGAATGCATATTACTGGCCTCTACCTTCTGTGATGAGGTAAAGAGCATTCTTACAAACATGGAGGCTGTTAGATTGTAAATTGCCCCATGCAGGATTCTCTGAGTTGCTTGGAGCAAAGCACGGCTGTTTCTGAAGCCTAAGGGAAAATTTCTCTGTGATCTTCATAAAAAGACCACAATGAGTCCCCCACCCCAATGAGATGTTGCTGTGTCCTATTCAGTGAGGGATCCACCTCAGGCCCTGCTAGGTGAACCCTCAGGAAGGAAGAATGTTGAAAGAAACTGTGACACTGTGAAGGTGGAGTGTTTTAGTAAGGGGCACTAAAGTGTTGGATGGAAGAAAAAGTTTCTTTTTCTCCCACTCACTTTGGGAGCACTTAGTCACCATAGCCAGGGAGAGAGGGGAAGAGAAGGTTTGACAGCAGTGTCACTTCTGTCCATCATGTTGTTTATAGTCCACCCCTATAATCTGTGCCAGAATGCTGCAGAGATGGGACTGGGAGGGATATTTTCCAAAACAAATTTCTAAAACTTTGGCTGCCAAGGTAGCATTGACTAGGATGCAAAGATAGAGAACTGGGTTTCTCTTTACTCCTGGAGCACTCATAGGAGAAAGTGGGAGAGAAACAGAATTCCAGAGAAACGTGGCAGTTGCTTCCCTGGTTTCACTGACTGGCGGCTGCTGTCCTTAGTACCTTGGTGTTAATACTAATTATGGGATGGTTAAGAGGGGTCTTCTATGGCTCCTGCACTAGATGGTTCTTAGGGGAGTTAAGTTTTGGAAACCTGGGTAGAACCAAGTAAAGAGATGTGTTACTGGATTTTTTTATATGCCAATGGATATATGAAATTCTGATGGGGGTTGACCTAAATTTGACCATCGGTCCTTTGCCACTCCCCCCCTTTTTTAATGAATACCTTGTAGAATTATTGTCACATAGGACTCTTCTGGTAGCAGTGCAATAAGATTGTGCCAGCTCTGTTTTTCTCCTTGATACTTCAGAACTCTTTTTGCCTTGAAAGAGATTTTTTTTAAGCATTAAAATCTAAGTTCTCTGCCATTTGTTATATTTTGCACAACTTTATTTAGCTAGAAATATAACAATTGTGCTCTTTATTGTGCATACATGACATCAACTAGTGAGTTTTTCCAAGTGTCACTTTTTTTTAAAGATTTATTTATTTTTATACAAGAACTGGGGTACAGGCCAGAGGTGAGGGGGGGTGAGAGGATTCACCAGAGACAGAGTGTGGAACAGAACAGGAAGACAGACCAAAGTACACTGCTGGGGGGAGCAGAGAGCAAGACAGGAGAGGTCTGCCCCTCCATGTGGGTAACTCCCTGGGTGGTCGGGAGTCCAAATGGCACTGCAGAGGCTGCAGACAGCTTCACAGCACTGTGCTCAACCTGCTGCACCACCGAGGAGACCCCCAAGTATCACTTTTTTTAGTCAGTTCTTATTTTATTTTTATTATTTTTTATTTTTTTTATTTTTATTTTAATGAAGTTATTTACTAAATAAAGAGGAAGGACATTTGTCTTTTTGGGGGTTGTTTGGAATATAAGCTCCTAGTATTTTTTCACAAGGAGCAATTAGTACATATTTCAAAATGACTTCTTTATCGTTTGGGGAGCAACTTATTTTTTTATTTTTTTTATCGTATACATTTTTTACATCGTTCTTCATTTTTGTACAATATGTGCTTTCATATCTTGGTTATAGTCCCTGTGAAATTCCCACCACCCATTCACCCATGTACCATCACCATAGTCCCTTGTGGTCTTCCCACCCCTGTTTTGATGCTACTCCCTTTTCCCTGCCCCCCTGCAGAATATCTCTGGTTTATAGTTACTTGTTGATTTTGATTTGCACTCTATTATAATTACTTTTTTCACTCCTATCCCTTATTTGGATACTCTGCATTCCTCCTATAAGTGAAAACATCTGGTATTTTTCTTTTTCTTTCTGGCTTATTTTATTGAATATGATTCATTCCAGCTCCATCCATGATGCTGAAAATGGCATGAGTTTATCTTTTTGGATTGCTGAGTAATATTCCATTGTGTGTGTATACCACATTTTCTTGATCCAATTATCTATATTTGGACATATGGGCTGTTTCCATAGCTTACCTATTTTAAATAGTGATGCAATAAACTAAGGGTACACATATCCTTTTGAATAAATGTTTTTGTGTCCTTTGGGTGGATACCTTGGAATGGAATTGCTGGATCATACGGAAGCTCCTTTTTCAGCATTTTGAGGAACCTCCACACAGCTTTCCCTGGTGGTTGGACCAGTTTGCATTCCCACCAGCAGTGTAGGAGAGTTCCTTTTTCTCCACATCCTTGCCAAAATTATTTGTTGCTAGTTTCATTTTTTTTTATATGTGCCATTCTCACTGGTATAAGATGGTATCTCATTATGGTTTTGATTTGCATTTCCCTGATTACGAGTAATGTTGAATATTTTTTCATATGCCTGTGGGCATTTGCATTTCCTCTTTGGAGAAGTGTCTTTTTAGCTCTTCTGCCCATTTTTTGGCTGGGTTGTTAGTTTTGTTTTTGTTGAGTGGAAACTGGTTTCTAACCATGTAAAGTGCTGATCATTCTTAATATTTTAGTTTTAAGAATATTAATCTTCACATATGAACAACTTCAAGAATGATACCTAAACATAATTTTAGAATAAAACTGTGAAAGCAAACTTAGAGCAAATGTCAGTAGTCACTGATCTCTTACTGGGAAAGTTTGGAACATAAAAAATCTGTGCGATGTTTTTTAGTATTTACCTCTAGCAGCATGGAAGAAGCTCCCTTCTTTGTTTTACGGATCAGTGTCTCTTGAATTCCAGGGGATGCTTAGCAGATTGTACCATCTGTCTCACAGTAGCAAGCACACAGCATGCATGGCACCTATTCAGGATGATCTGGGCTGCTGGGGTCTCCCATGCAGTCACTGGTAGAAACAGATGAGAAAGCTCTTGCTGAATTTACTCAACCAAACTCTCTTGAGTGCGTCACATAGCTGAACATGCCCTTGGTCCTGTCTTACTCCTGCCTATCAGGGAAAATTCTGCACAGACACATTTACCAATGATGATAATGCAAGGATGGTGACAGGTCCATCATAAGACAGGAATTGTTGTGTCTTTCATGATCCATTAGGCACCTCACTGTTCCCCTATATCCAGCCTATATTTTCAGAGTTTTCTTTTCTCTGTATTAATGAAAGGATAAGAAACTCACAATAGTCCAACATTCATAACCCATAAAGTAACAGGTAAAGGGAATAATGAGACTTTTATTTACAAATAAACTTCCCTTACAAAATCCAATTACAATTATTATTAGAGGAGAGCTTTTTCTGTATTTCAGCTATTTCTGAATTCTGGCCAATCAATGTCTTGTAGAAACAGTGCTTAGTGTTCTTCTTGAGCCCTTCCTGTGAGGGTCACATCTATAGAGTGTGACCGGATGCAATAGAGACTGAGCCCATTTAATTGAAGTGATTTTCCTTAACGTGATCTTGTAGAGTTTTTATTTTACCTTCAGTAGTAGTCATACTTTTCCTTTCCCAGTGGAAAGTCCTCAGCATAGATGTAAATTTTCACTGTCACAAGCAAATGTCCATGGTAAAAGAGCCCTGAGCCACTGTGATGAGGAAAGAGATGAGGAACCAAATGCTCAAAACCCAACAGTGAGTCTTGTCTATTCTCACCCCTACAGCTAGATCTCGTTACCTGATGTCTGCTCATTGAGCGGGTTCCACTACAGCAAACCACTTAGATACTGCTGGAGATGCTGTCCTTTCAGTAACACTGTGCTGTATTGGAACCCATTGTAACCTGAAGAAAAGGAAGAATTGCTTGAAGAGTGGCAACCAGAACCTCTTGTTCCTCCTGTATCAAAAGACCATCCTGCTCTCAACCACAACTTCATTACAGGGTAAATTGATTTTCCTCCTTGAAGGATCTGTGTTTGGTTCCTTGTAGATAAACTTGCTAAAGTATGTAGTAGATTATATAATATTCCTTTTGTAGCTGAGATCAAACATTTATAAATTAATGAAGACCAGAAAATAAGTGCCATAGGTCATATGTCCCCTTCATAACTAGATCTTAAGAGTACACTCACACTACTACTTCTTGGGAGGGTGTCAGTTAACATTAGACAATACCAGTAGACTGTCACAATGTGAATCATGACACTTCAGTGCACTTATGCTACCTCTGTCCTTGCTTCCAATGTCTGATATGTTTTTGTTTTTTGTTCTTCTGTTGGTTATCTGCTATATTGTATATGTTTTTTTTTTTAAAAATAAGGTGTATTTTTAAGCATGCAGAAAATATCACACATGTGTGTACCCACCATTCAGAATAAATAAACACTACCATTTAGCACTCTTTATTTCTTATCAACTTTTAAAAGAAATAAACATATATATAGCTAAAGAAATACTTCACCATCGTTCATTTACTCTTACCTCGCATACAACATAACTACTTGGTAAATGTTTCTCCTTGCTTATATTTCTAATTTTACCAGGTGTGCCTTTTGCCATGAAAATATTTTAAAAATATTTTAATTGTGAAATAGAATATTTTCCTGATTGTGTCCTACTTACGGTCTGATCTAAGAGAGCTTCACAGTCTTCATGTCCCTTGGTTTTCTTTGCTCTTAGAAAAGTTTTATGTTTTCTGAAATTAAACTTACCAGTGATTGTTCCTATGGTGAAGATGTCCTTCCCTGCCCTGGAGGTCTGGTTAGTCCATTTCCATAACAATCAGTTGTCTGAACATTCTCAGGTGATACCCATCCAGGCTGAATCTGCGATTTCCCCTTCTTTTATACACAGACTTCCTTACAAAGGGTCTGTTTTGACTTATTATTATTTTGGGGGTATTTGTCCTTCCTGTATCAAAACCTCTCTCAGATCAATCCCACCATTTTGTCATGGCCCTGATCCCAGTGAGTTCCTCCCCTCTATGTTCTTCAGAATCTTCTAACCAATTCTTTTTTTTTTAAAGCTATATTTATTTATTTTTAAGTTTTTTTTTTTCATTTTTTACATCATTGTTCATTTTTAAACAATATTTGCTTCCCCCCACCCCCCTCAGGTGTAGTCCCCATAGAGTTTCCTTCACCAATGCACCCATGCACCATCACCTCAGTCCCCTGTGCTCCTCCCTCCCTCCCTCTGATCCCTCTCTCTCCTTCTCCCCTGTAGTATGTCTCTGATTTGTAATTGTCTGTTTTTGCTTTGATGTGTTTTGTACTATTACTGCTTTTTTTACACTGATGTCTTATTTGGTTCCCCTATATTCCTGCTATAAGTGAAACCATCTGATATTTTTCTTTTTCCTTCTGGCTTATTTCACTGAGCATAATTCCTTCTAGCTCCAGACATGTTGCTGCTAATGGCATGAGTTTATCTTTCTTGATTGCTGAATAATCCATTGTGTATATATGCCATATCTTCTTGATCCAGTTGCCTATTTGGGGGCTTTTGGGTTGTTTCCAGGTTTTACTTATTGTAAATAGTGCTACAATAAACATAGAGGTACAAGTGATCTTTTGAATCAATGTTTTTGTGTCCTGTGTGTAGATCCTTAGGAGTGGAATTGATGGGTCATATGGTATCTCCACTTTTAGTAGACTGAGGAACCTCCAAACAGCATTCCATAGTGGTTGGACCAGTTTGTGCTCCCATCAGCAATGTAGGGGAGTTCCTTTTTCACCACATCCTCACCAACATTTGTTGCTAGTTTTTTGTTTTTTTTTTCATATGTGCCATTCTTGCTGGTGTAAGGTGGTATGTCAATATGGTTAACTCTCTTATTTACTGTAGTTTAGCTTTTACTGTTCTAATTTGACTCAAAAATGGGTTATGTTTTTGACTAGAAATGTGTTGAATTTACACTTTGATTTGGAAAAAATTGGCATCTTGCTGACATTAAGTCTGACCACTGTACATTTGATACATCGCTTAACATGTAGTTCTTTCATGTCTTACAGTAAAATTTTGATTTTCTTCATAAATATATTGCTTAACTTTTCCCCCAACTTTTTATCTTGAAATAATTGTAGGTTCACATGTAGTGATATCTCACATAACCTTCCTCATTTTTCTCCAAAATTTAAACTCCTGTGGAGTTTACCCATCTCAGCCAGAAAATTATCATTGCATGTCTTTGAGTAGATGTCTCTAAATACCAGATAATTTTCATTTCTGTCACAAGGACAATCTTTTACTTCCTGTTTCTGATTACTGCACTGGCTAGACACCTCCATGCAGTACTGAATAGCAGTGATGACAAGGACCTATGTGTCCTTGCAAGAGTCTATCAAGTTTATCTTTCTCTTGCTGGATTACTAAGGGAATTCTTCTGGTTAGTTCTTTAATTACAAATATTAAAAAGTATCAATACATTGTGTGACTCTATCAAAATGATCTTTTCACTTTCCTTATCAGTTACCATATGAAATTTTAGTGATTTTTTAATTAATTAAGCTGTATGTAAATTTTTATGAGCAAAACAACAGTCTGTCATGTGATGCTTCCTCACCAGATTCCCATTCTTTAGGAGTCACCTTCTATTATTTTTAGCTTTTTTTCTGGCAATTACCTCTATTTTTCTAAGGACTTTGCTTATGCTGTTCTAGCAAATCAGCCATTTGAGGGCAGGGTAAACAGAGCAGATGAAGAGAAGCTCCCGTGACTGAGCCTTTGCACATCCTTTTGTCAAGTGTCTACCTTTGGCTAGTAACAGCTTTCTTCCTAGAAACATCATTCAGTTGCGGGAAAGACAAAAAAATGAGCTTATTCATAGGAGAGTTTCACCATCAAAGCTAGAGTAGGTGACGCTTTGGTGAGGTGGCCTCAAGAGTGATGGGGGAGTATCCAAATAGGTCATCACCTTGGCAATGCCAAGCACTGCTGAGAGCAGTAAGGAGCGTATCATATTAGTACTCATGATATGGATGACCTTGCATATGGTAGATCCATTTTTAGCAGTAGTATCCTCCATAGAGCTTTCTATAGTGGCTGAAACAGTTTGCATTCCCACAAGCAGTGTAAGAGGGTTCCTTTTTCTCAAATTCATCATCAGCATTTGTTGTTGCTAGTTTTTTAGAAAAGGGCCATTCTCACTTGGTTTGAGGTGGTATCTCATTGTGGTTATCTCATTAACATATACTGACCAAATGAAGGAACACAAGTCATAGGGAGGCTAGTGTCCTCAAAATCATCACACGTTACTCAGAGCTATAGGTTTGAGTAACCATCACATGCAAATTAATATATACCTTTTGTCCGATGCCATAGTCTTCAGCTATAGTCAGAATAAGGATCACAAGTGACTAGTAAAACACCATAAAGAGGGGTTGATACACAACCCACTCTTTCTGCTCTTTACTCTGTCTCTGGTGCTCTATTCAGAGATATGATTTGAGCTGAAAGACCAAATCCAATTTAAATTCAAAACTCACTGCAATGGAACAGAACACACATATATGGTATAGTAACATTTTTGTCAAAATGGAGTGGGGGAATATATACACAGTAGTATTTTACATATTCTGAAAAAAAATGTAAGTCTGGAATAATTAACAAAAATAATTAACAAAAAATTACTGATAGTATCTTTGGCGGGTAGGGTAAGAAAGGGAGGTGGGATGGCTGAGGGGAGAAGGCTTATCACCCTCTATCTCTAAAACCTTCAAAGTTTATATCAGGAATTGAATTGATCAAGAAAATTAATTCAAGGACCATTAATCTTGGCCCATCACACCAGTCATATGGCATACAGACCCCCAGGTGGAAGCCATGACAAACCCAGCCCTTTACCCCCCTGGTAATCCTGATACTCCGTAGGAGCTCCTGGAAGCCCTGACTGCCTCACCAACCCTCTGGCAGGCAAACACCCAGGTGGAAGCTCTAGGAACACCCATCCTCCAACCCCAACATCCTGTCTGGAGCTCTTGAAAGCCCTGCAGGCTGCACCATTCATCGAGCAAATGAACACCCAGGTGGAAGCACAGGAACCCCTGCCCTCCACCCCCAGTGCCCTCTAGGCCACACTCGAAGCACTGGGAATACAGCCCGCCATCAGCAGCTGTCCAGTTGATGGGAGTTCAGGGGGAGGCATGGGAGCTAAGAGACCAGCTACTGCACACCAGCCTAAGAGGCCAAGGCAACAAGCAGATCCATCCACGCACTGTAAGAGTGCCAGAAGTCCTGCCCACCAGCGCCTGTAGTTTGGGGACCCTAGGCATAGAACAAACCTGAAAGCCCGAATGGGAAGAAAGAAAAATAGAAATGATCAAGCATGTCTGCCTGGGACAATGCACCACAGAAAGAGAGTCAACCTCCAGAACCAAACAACACTGAAGAATTTCTCTGCCTGACAGATAAAGAATTCAGAATCACCATAATTACATAACTTAAAGATGCAGGAAAGGAAAAGAATGTTATGAGAAATATAATCAATGAACAGAAGAACAAGATTGAACTTGCAATTTAGAAAATATGGAACTGCAGACTGTTAAAAGATCAATGGAGGAGATAAAAAAATCTGAAAAAGCTGTGAAAATAGATGACAGAATGAATCAGATAAGAAATGAACCAAAAAAAAAAAGAAAAGATAGCTACAAAGGAAAGAGAATGAAGAAACACTTCAAGAATTAGCTGACACCATGTATAAAGGAAATACTAGAGTCATAGGAATACCACAAGGAGAAGAATGAGACAGGGAACTACAAAACTGCAATGAAATAATTGAAGAGAGAATCCAAAACTTGCAGAAGGAAGTGAAAATAGACACAAATCTAGAAGGACAAAAGGCTCTCATAACGGAAAGAAAACTACAGCAAGACACATAGTACTAAAGCTTCTAAGTGTCCAAGACAAAGAAAAATCAATGAACCTGAAGAAGGGGGAGAAACAG